ACATAAGGAACCCTGCAAGCCAGGCATATTGACTTAGTTTTAAATTGTAATATTACGTATGTTTTATTGTATGTTTTTTTATTTTGACTTTTTCCCAATTACATCTTAATTTGGTTCAGGCAGCACTTGAGAGTATTGCTGGCCCTAACATTGTTTGATACCTCTGTATTATACCTTGCAACCTCTCACAAATTACAAGATGTCCCAAAAATCATAGTGCAATAAGACTTTTGGGACACCTCCTATAATAGCCAGGAATTATAAGATTACTTCAAATGAATACTCTATGCTTAATAATAATAGTTAACTTATATTTAATTATAACATAAATTAGCATATAGTAATGTGTAATATATAATTTATAATATAGCATATAATTTATATAAATTAATTAAAATTATAAATTATATTTAATAATAATTAATATATATTTCTTTTCCACTTCCCCCCCTTTGTTAATCTCTATATGAACACAGCAACTGATGTTATTATTATTATAAATGATAACTGGTATTTTGTACAATATTATTATAAATGTTAATTAGCATTTGTATAGTTCTTTAAAGTTTATACAACAACTTCCTTACAACTTCCGTGGGGTAGATAATGTAAGTATTAGTTCCATTTTGAAGATGAGAGACTGAGGGGTTGAGCGACAGACCAGCATCATCAAAGGGAGCATGGGAAAAGAATAGAGAAAGGAGTATTGAGAAGTTAGGAAGAGAAATGCAGGGAAAAGAATTGGGCCCAATATTTGAAATGCTTAATAAGAGCAATACCCCCATTTTGGCCAAGTAAGCTTTTCATCCAAAATCCTGTAAAAGTTCACTATGGAGAGTGAAGAACATCTCAGATAATTGTACAGACTGTCCTTTCAAGAATAAGGACTTGGCTCCAGGCTGCTCAAAGCCCAATGCAATGGCATTTTTCCATCACCTCCTGAACCGTGTTATTCCTGTGAGGTTGCAAATTCTTGTTGTGAAAAAGACCAATCCATTCAGGCAAGAAATGATTTGCCTGCCTGCCCTTCCTGGACCAAAACAAAGCCTCCATGGTGGTGAGCAGTAGGGCTGTGCTGGGGATAGAATTATATAAGTAGCTCTGTAGATTCAGACTTAGGCGGCCCCTGGGAATTCCTGGGCATTGAAACACAGGGGCAGATTTTGATTCTTCTTGTTTGCTGGAATTTGCTAAGAATGGAGGGTTGTTTTTTTTTTTCTCCCAGAGTTTCAGAGTCATTATGTGGCCTTTTAATAAGTAACTTCATCTCTGTTTCTGCTCCATCTTTATCAAATCATGTGTGTGGATACATACACACACATACATACACATATATATGCACACATTAATAAAAGGGGTTATAAATAATTGTCCAGTTACTGCAGCAGAGGGATGCTATATGAATTAACTAATGTTTATAAAGGGCTTGAGAGGTCCTAAAGTGAGAGGAATTATGGAAATATGAAATGATCCTTTACTTTCAGAGAAAGTGTTTCTTTTTATTTTCTTATGCCAGTGTGGGTGAGAAAAATAAATTTATAAAGACCAAGATCCATATTTAGTTAATAGCCTAATCTGTTTATATTCAAAGCAGTCATTTCAGAATCACTTTTTAAAAGAAACCATTAGCTATTGTGAAAAATTTTTTTCATTGTACTCCAAAGTGCTGTAAAAATCTTTTTGTTTTCTCCAGTCGAAATACCTTAAGCAGAAGCAGAATTTTCCAGTTAATTGCTGCCAATGATTGCTGAAGACTTATAAGTATAAGTTGGAGTTAAATCACTTTTGCTCCACCTTTTGGAAAGATAAATGCAAAAAAAAAAACCCACACATTTAAAACAATTATCTTAGCATAGGATTAGGATTTAAATAATAAATTTGATGCCATAGATTTGGGGGCTTGTCAGAAAAAATTACTTGGAAATAGAATCTCAGCACATGGAGTTAGGGTTAGGGTGATAAATCAATCACCTGACAAGTATTTATTAAACACCTTCCATATTCCAGGCAGTAGGAATACAATGATAAAAATGAAACAGTGCTGTCCTCAAGGAGCTTACATTTTACCATATACCTAGTTAGGTACATACAAAATAAATGCATAAATACAAGATGGGGAAAGGGAGGCTTTATGTAGAAAGTAATGAGCTGAACTTTGAAGGAAATTAGGGATGCTAAAATGTGGAGGTAAGAAAGAGTGCATTCCAGGCATATTCTGTGCAAAATCAGAGAGATAGGAAAATGCTGTTTATGAGGAACAGAAGAAAACTACTAAACCTGGATTACATGTTTATTTTTCATTATTAAAGCCCTAAATATAATTCATTCTCAGAGACCAGGTTTATGTAGAGGCCGAAATGGGAGGGGGGGAAATAAAGCTATAAAGAAGGTTACCTCTGTATACCCATTTCCTTCAACTTACTGATATTCGACTCAATTACATATAATTATTGAATTTCAGAGTCGAAAGAGACCTCTGAGCATCTAGTCCAACCCATACCCAAAAAAAGAATCTTTAATATAACATCCCCAACAAATGATCATCTAGCTTTTATTTGAATATCCCCAGCGAAGACCCCCTGCTTCCAGAGGAGTGTATCTCAAACCGTTTTTTGTCTCAGGACTCCTTAAAAATTATGGAGGACTTCCCAAAGAACTTTTGTCTATATGGGTTATATCTATTGATATTTACCACATTATAAATTAAAACATTGCATTATTATGCAAAAAATGTGACATTGTGGACAGCCTGAAAGGGTCTTAGGGATGCCCAAGGGTCCTGTTAACAAAGGACTTCTTTCCCCATACAACAAGCCTAAATTTGCTCCTTTTCAATTTGTACCTGTTGCCTTGCCCTCTGAAGACAAGCAGAAACAGTCTAATATCTCATCCCTGGGATAGTCTTTTAAGTGCTGGAGAACAACCACTTCACCCTCCCAGAGTCTTCCCTTCTCCAGTCTAAAAATCCCTCTTTCCTTCATCTCATTCTCATCTGATATGGATTTGAATTCCTTCACCATCCTGGTTGCCTACCTCTGGTCCTTTTCCAGCTAATCCATATCCTTCTTAATCTGTGGTGCCTAGAAACAAAAAGAATATCCCAGATGTGGTCTGTCCACTGACGTATATAGCAAAATTATCACCTCCTCATTTCTGGCAAATATGCCTCTCTGAATGCGACCTAAGCATACAACTGACATACGTTGACCTTACAATCCACTCAAACCCTCAAGAACTTTTTCAGACAAACTTATTTGGGACCATCCCTTTCCCCATCTTGTACCTGAGCAATAGATTCTGGGAACCAATTATACAATTTTGTATTTATTTCTATTAATTTTATCTTATTGGATGATTGTATGAAGAATGAGCAATCATTTAAAATGCTGTCATTCATAACCCAAGCTCCACACTCCCCACAACTTGGTAATCACTTTAGGAAGAAGGTCATACCATATCTTAATGAGGAATCAACAAGTGCAAGGTGACGTAAGGGAAATTCAAGCTGCACTTTGTGTTGGCCTGTTAAGTGTCGGCATTGGTCAGATCAAGCATATCGACAGGTCTTAGTTTCTGCAGCTAGGAAGAACCTAATGCACACATTTGGGTTCTGACTCACATTTCTAGTGTCGCTTCTAAATATTGCTTTGTTTGAACCTAACTGTTCCAGGCTCCATTAAAGTCCTTAATGAGTACGTTGACCACTGGATAATAATGCATTTGACTTCACAAGATTTTTAATTCCATTCCCCCAACCCCGCAACTTACTAGGTTCTGGTACTGACAAACATCCTTAAATGGTTCACTCTAATTCATCCTCCACACAAGCTGCTAAACTAATGTTCCTTGGTCACAGCCCTGACTGTGTCACTTCCATGCAGAAATACTGATAGTGGCTCTGAAGAGTCTCTAAGAGAAGGTAGAATGAGAACTCCTCAGCCTGTCATTCAAAGACCTTCACAATCTGGCTGTCACTTACCTTTCTACTCCTCCCCTTCACTCACTCTTTAGGTTCCAGCCAAACTGGCCTGATAATAACAGCAACTAGCATTTTAAGAGAAAGAAAGAGAGACAGACAGACAGACAGACAGAAAGAGAGACGGACAGACAGAGACAGAGTCAGAGACAACAGACAGAGACAGACAGGCAGGCAGAAAAGCAGAGACACAAAGACAGAGAGACAGAGACAGACAGAGACAGAGAGAGATTGAGAGAGAGAAAGAAAAAAGAAAAAAAAAGAAGAAATGTACACACACATACACATACGTATGTAATTTTATCCTCACACCAATCTTTTGTGGTAGGTGTTAATCCCCATTTTATAGATAAGGAAATTAAGGCTAGGAGAGGTTAAATGACTTGCCCAAGCAAGATTCAAAACCAGATCTTACTGCCGCCAGGTCCTACATTCTCTGTTATGCCTCCTACCAACGTGGAGCTGGCCCTGCCTACTAGCTATTCCTCAGACTCAAAAAGACATCTACTATCTCCATGTCTTTGCATAGGCTAAACCCCATTCTTAGAATAACTTGCTTTTTTCACCTCCTCACAAAAGACTCCTTGCCTCTTTCCAGGGTCTCTCCCAGGAAGTCTTTCGTGAGCCTTCATTTATGATTCAAAGAACCCCTCTTTGAATTACTTGATATTTACTTATCTATGTTATACTTTCCCCCAATAGAATATAAGTTCCTTGAGAGCAGGGATTTTTCATTGTTGTCCTTATCCCCAGTACCCAGAACTGTGACTGGAAGTAGATTCTTGATAAAAGTTCAGTGAATTTAATTGTGTTAACATTTGTTATCACAACATAAGATTTCAGTTTATTAAGCTTATTAACAAACAGGACCCCAGTTTAACAAATAAATAGCATCTTCATGTTGCCAACATTATTCTCTCTGTTCAGCTGCGGATAAATTTCAGTGCGTTCTTTCAGTAACATCACTTCCTTTGCTATTTACTTTAACAGTGTACTTCTGTTTTGTTTTGTTTTTTCACACCAGTATGCTGCAGAATAATCAGCTAAGACAGGTCCCTTCAGAGGCTCTCCAGAATTTGAGAAGTCTTCAATCCCTGTAAGTATAATTGAAATAACACGGCCATTTGGGATCAATTTCAACTCGTGAGATCGCTTAAATGTTGAATTTGCCTATTCAGAGTTGATCCACCACTAGGATCATGGGATTTAGAGCCGCAAGAAACCTTAGATATTGTCTAGTCTAATCTCCTCATTAGACAGATGAGAAAACCAAGGCCCAGAGGGGTGAAGGAACTTTCTCAAGGTCACACAGGTAAGAAGTGACCAAATTAGGATTCTAAATCCATTGTTACTTCATTACCTGGTCTCAGTTTTACTGATTTGTAAAATGAAGGAGTTGATTCATTCTCTTCTACAACCTATGACTAAGTTCATCAGTTTTGAGGCATACGTAAATGAATTTATGAAATTAATTAATGAATTAATTTATTATTAATATGCTAATATTAATAAAAGGCACCACGCCATAGTGGATAGAGAATGGATCTTGGAGTCAAAAAGGCATGAGTTCAAGTCTCACCTCTGACCAGCCGCATGACCCTGGGCAAGTCACTTAAACCCCAGAAAAGAGAACTTCAGGAAAGTCTGGAAGACTCTTAAGTTTCAAAGATATTTGTGTCTGCATTGGCCAAAGGAGTGTCCTTACCAGGAATTGTCTCTGCCAGTGAAATCATAGGTTTGAATATATATGCGTATATGCATATTATTCAACTATGATTTTAATAGAAATATGATATATTTAAATATCAATGTATAAATATTATTTAAATATAGTAAGCCTATTTTACCATGTGTTATATAAATAATTGTATTTTTCAGGTGTAGATATATCATATGTACATGAGAGAGAGAGGTACTCATAGAATCTTTAGCATCCTTTGAAGTTCCACCTAAGTGTTACTTTCCTAGGAAGGAAACCTTTCTTGATATGTTTTCAGTGCTCTCTTCCTCCTCCAATTAAACTTACTTATACTCTGAAAGGCATGTCTCTCCCCTCCCCAATAGATGATGAAGTCACATTTTTTGGTTTAGTCTTTGTATTCTTGGTGCTCGATATAGCTCTTTGCACATAGCAAGCATTTAATAAATGCTTGCTGAATTTCATGTAATAACTGCTATGTACGCTCACTCAAACAAGTGAAGGAAAAAAGAAAGTTGAGAGATTGGGACCCAAAGGTATATGTATCAATTTTCAGAGACCACCTGTCAAAATCATAAAGATGAGAAAGACAGCATAATATAATAGAAATCACATTAGATTTGGTTGGAATCAAGAAACAGGTTCAAATTCCTGTTCTGATATTTACCAACTGTATTTACACGGGCAAGTCATTTAACCTCATTGAACCTCAGTTTCCTCATCTATAAAATGGGAGAACTAACTCTTGCACTGCCCACTTCATAGGGTTCTTGTGAATCAAGACTTTGTAAACTTTACCCCATATTGCTAATAGTGCTTTATTAAAATAAACACCTAACAGGTCTAACTCCCATTTCAAAGGCGTGTTCTATAGAGGCTATACCTATGTAACTGTAAGGGCAAAGTGGGACGTTTAAGATTCAGCAATAGAGGTTGTCTATTTCTGAGAAACTAAGGAGAGAGTTAGTGGAGATGGTTTGAGAGAAACTGTGGACAAAACAGTGAGCAAGAAGTTACGAAATACTTTGGAGAGATCTGTGTTAATTGATATTTTATGACAAAACTTTATAAATGAAATTTAATGAGAAATTAGTCTAAGGAGGGACAAGAGGTATGACTTGAAAGAAACTATAGAAAAGATAAAGAAAGAAGATAAAGGAAACTTGTGTTCCTGATGAAACTATTATCTTTAAAAGAAGATAAAGAAAGTTCTTGGGGAAAATCTTGCTTGGTACCTTGAGTAAACTGAATGGCAGAATTATGTCTCCAGAAATCATCTGCAGTTATGGTGATAGGTAGAGGTGACTCTGGCTACGGTCATTTTCATCAGTAAAACATTGTAAATAATTATTTATGTCTTTATGTTATTATTTATTACATTGTTAATAAATATTATATCCAGGAACTTCAATATTTATTTAGTCTTAGGTCAGGTGTATTGATATCAAGAGAGGTATGAGCAACTGCTTATTCCATGTCTGGAATTTATTAAATAAACATTTAATAAACTGGGGTGGGAGCACCAAGCTAATTAATTAATGGTAGATGTGTTATAATTTAGTAATTAATGAGGAAATATCTAAACATGCCCCTAGATTTATCCTAGAATTCAGAATGAGACCAAATACAGGAAGAAGTGGAGTAGTAGGCTGAGGAGTGGCCTATAAGTGATTATGATCCACCTCAGACCCCCCTGACATTAATTAATAGCCTGAGTTACTATCCTGAGCTAATGTCAAGATACTAGCACCTACCTCCTGGAATTCAGCCAAATAAACTGAACACCAAGGGAATAATTCTCTTTCCACCTTCCCTAATTCCCCACCCTACCACCAATCCTTACTCTTTCAGGGTTTCTGATTGTGAAAATAAACATTTGACACTTCCAGGATTTCTAAAAGGAGAGTATCATATTTAGCAACAGATCCTTTTTCTATCTGCATCTGAATCCCAGTCTGTAGTGGTCTCCACGCAACAAGAAATGAAAAGTAAACTCCCCCCACCCCAGCTAAGAGGTTGGTGGTCTCTGCCATACACAATTTGCTCAAAGGACATTTTCATGAGATTGATGTCAAGTTCTATTGATAGATATTGATATACAGTTATCCTTTCCACAACACGAGGTTTAGGGCATAGTGCCCCCATGATCTGTAAAATCCGCATAAAAATTTTTGGCCCTCCTTTCATACCAGGGAAGTCTGAATTTTTACTTTTTCTTTAACGAGATGTTCACAGTATTAAAGATATTATATTATACAATACTATACATATATTTTATGCATTTCTGAGTTTCTAAACTTTTTCTTTGTTATCTGCTGGCCTTCATGTGTCATCTGTGGCTTTCACAAAACTCCCAAAAATTCCCGTGTAACTTCTTATGCAGGTCAATGATATATCAAAATCACAATGAGGAAAGTTGTGATGTGGAAAGGATAGCTAAAGGGATTGAGAATGGATAGAGCATTAGGCTTAGAGTCAAGAAGAGCTAAGTTCAAATCAGTCTTAGACACTTAATAGCTCTGTGATCCTGGACAAGTCACATAAATCTATTTCCCTCAATTTCCTCCATTATAAAAAGGGAACAACAACAACAAACTTTGAGGTTCAAATGAGATGATATTTGTAAAGCATTTAACACAGTGCCTGGCTAAATGCACGTAAGTGCTAAATGCATGTTGCTGAAATACCAATGAACCCTAACGGACCATTCAGTTGATGCCGTGATGACTTAGAGTATTTCTAAGTTTAGACAAAAGGTTTGAGATGATGCCAGAAATACTTTGTCAAATTTGTGAGTACTTATTCAAATTTTTATTAAATATAATTTTATTCAGAATTTAATAATTTAAGTTTTGAATTTGTTTATAATCCATTTCATGCTTTCATATTTAAATATATACTTGGACTTCAATCCATGTCTTGATGCCATGTGGATTTGAGAAAAATAGCCTGTGGAATAGGTATACATGTGTACATATAATATTACCAAATCACAGATTTTCAGAGTTAGAAGGGACTTCTACCTATATCCAACTAATATCCAAAAAACAATCCCTTTTGGAACATATTGAACAGGTGGGAACCCTCTTCATTCAGAGGCCAACAATTCTGCCTTTTGCTACCTCTAACTTTAAAAAAATATATATTCCCCTGACCTCAAGCCTAAATTTGCCTCCTCTCTGTTATAACTTCAGTTGCATAGGAAAGCACACTTTGTTGAGCAAAATTTTAGTTTCCAATCTTAAATATGGGAGAAGAAAGAGATACACTTACCAATGCCCTAATAAAAGCAATAATAAAATTGCAAACAATCGTTTGAAAATCAGTGTTCAGAATCAGTTGGTTAATAATTACTAGTGCAGTTTACTCAGTTCCCTTTACTGAAATGACATGAGAAAAGGAGCATAAGTCTTTCAAGATTATTCTTTTGATCTTTTTTTTCCCCTAAAAACAATGAGGGAAATTCTGCATTAGAGATTATATCCAGCTCTTTTTAATTTTTTTTAACTTCAAACATACAAAGTCTCTTTGCAGTTCTCGTCATTCTATAGGTATTCTGGACCAAAGATAAGCAAGCCAACAAGGGCTCTTTGTTGCTTAGGGAGGATTCTGTTGAACGTCCAAGGCTGCTCCTCAATAATGTGACAGTATCTTTGGTTCTTTGTTGCCAATGCCTTCCCCTGAATTAGAAAAGAAGAGGCCAAAAGAGCAAAAAATCATGCAGTTGTGTTGTCTCTGTAAAGGCCTGGTATCTAGTGACCAAATTAAAATTGAGATAATGGCAGTGGCCAATAGAAGCTTTAAACAGCTGGGAAGCAGACAGAAGATGGAAGGATAAGCACTGGTAACCAAAAGCCACTATCAGCTGAAAAGAAAATCACTGGCAAAAGTGAACCCTTTGAGGCAAAGGAAACCATGATCCTTTGTTCTCCTCCAAACTGGGGCTGAACTTCCCGATAAAAGTGGATGGGTTTTGGTTTCTCACTTCATACACTCTAGTAGTTTTCTGTTCACAAGGTGTCACTGGCTCAGAAAGTTCTAATGTACCATAACAATTACTCTTCCTTTCCAAAGAAGACAGCTATGTTTACAAGGTTTCCAAAAATGAAGAGTTCCTTTGATACTTATCCCATCAGACACAGAGGCATCGAGGCAGATGCATTAACATTGGTATGAATTGGATTTTATCAATGGCATTAGATGTGTGCTCATCAAGACACCCCTTTCCTAGGATAGGAACCCTTGGCGTTACTGAAGTTGGCTCTGGGTGCTGCTGTGTATTCCTTTATTAACCAATGCTTATTAAAATGCTGTCATCTCCTTGTCAAATTTGACTATAATTTGATTTTCTAAATTTTCATTACTATTTAATTACGACTATGATGAACATTAACAAG